TTATAGATATAATTTTAACCTGTAAATCGCGGAAAAAGGGTATTACCCTCACTAAACCTCGTGTTCAAAATTTTTTCCTCCCAGTAAGTACATGGTATTAAGAGTAAAGTGAGTTCTATCTTGAAGGTGTGCCTCAAAACATTTTTTTTTATTACAATGGGGGACAAATACGGGATATTTTTTGAGGATTTCCTCATACCCTTTTTCATAGCATCAGAGAGCCCAAAACAAGGTTGGAAAACAAGGGGTTACAATAAAATAATAGTCTTAAAAGCTTTGGGAATATGTTCAAGGATGTTAGTAGAGTATTTAAGAACCTTAGCAACATGAAAATTATTAGTTGTTCAGATTGTTTTTCATGATTCAATTCATCCTAGATTACTGTCATTTAAAGTAAAGGTCGGCATATACTCAGTAACGATAAATCTTTATAAGATATTATTTAATTTATTTAACTAACTAAATTAAATAGGATGTTTTTGCAAAAAAATTTACTTTAACATTTTTCTTTGTACGAAAATTTTTTGAAAATAGTACTTTTAATCATTTAAAACTAATTTATTCTTTAACTGCAGTTTCTTGAGATCAAAATACATATTAAAAAACATTGGTTGGATCCATTTAAACAATTAATTCACTGGTCATTATTGATGCCTTTCGTGCTATTCACAGGCAAAAAGAATTTCAGTTTTTTTCCATTCATGTCAATTTATGTTGAAAACTACATAAGATAGCTTATAATATGTTATAGAAAGAAAGTTTTGCAATCAAAAAAAAATTTTAGCATCAGTTTGAAGATCTTGTCTTCAACAGATAGAGAGATATATGTATTTTAATACGTAATTATGAGTAAAAATTAATTGCTAACTAATGTGAAAGACCACAAAATTATTCATCATGGTGTAAAAATTTTTTTTTGTAACGCAAAATTATTCCGTGGACACAATAGTGTATACAGAAGTACTATAATTCTTTATTAATTTCTTATATACATGTGGATCCGATACTATCTCTGGTTCCTAGCTGGGGGTATCTTGTGAAAATTTCTTCTCCACGCCCCTTAAAAAATATTTTTTTTTAACATTCTAACAGTACCCTCAGCGAGTTGAACTTGAAATGTTACGTACAGTTATCTTATCTTACTAATATATAAAGCAAAGTCGCTAAAACCGTTGTAATCGCTAACCGCGAAAACTACTAAACCGATTTTGCTGAAATTTTGCACACTGATTCATGATACTTCCTAGATGGTTTTAGTATAGTTTTTATCTTAAAAAATTTAATAACAAGAGCAATAAATGAGCTCGAAAATTTGCAAAAATACGCCAGCTCTTCACTTTAGTTCAGTAAAGTCCGCTAGGTGGTGTCGACATGAAATCGAGGCTACCTGCAACAGAATTAAATAAGTGTAGTGATAATACGCCGGAGCGTCTCGATAGTGATGCAGTTGTGCCTCGGCAGTTCAACGATCTGCGTAGAGAATGCTGATGATAGTCTTGCAGCTGGAGATCCCGGTTACGGACGACACTCTTCTGTAAGGGAGAAGGGACCTAGGTTTCCATTCACTCTGAATCTCGATGAGTGCGATCAAAAAAAAATTCATTCGAACCGATGACGTCTCTGGCATAATACCAGGAGACATATCTAGCCAGAGCACAATCTGCACTAACTCTTCAGAGTTGTGTGGCAGTCTAACCGTCCTGCCTGGTGCAGTTAGAGAATTTTTGGCTACAAATGTAAGCCAGGGAAAACAGCTCTGAAGGGCACAGGCAGCCACAACGGCTACCTTCTTAGTCGTCGCGTCCCCAACGCGTTTACCCACATGTTCCCGTCTAACGATGAAAGGTTGGTTATTCGGGGAACGACCCCAAGACGAGATATTCTTTGGTCAGCAGCGTACTTTTCTCCATCACAGTCTCCGTACATCGAGACTCCCAGGGTAAGAATCAAGCAACCGTAGCCAGCTCTTCATCATCAGGAATAAGAATAGCCAGGAAGTTTCGCCACTGGCACTTTTTAGCGCCATTATAAGTATTTACGTTCCCTACTTAACCATCAATTTCATCAGTTCTTTTTAGGATCCACCTAAGTGTAAACTACCTTGCCAACAACTACATTTTTATTACCAATTCCGGAAGCGATTCGTCGACTAAAAGACTATATTAACTAAAGACGGGCACTATTAAACCAAGTCAGCCATTCACTAGCAGACGTCACCTGCGGAGTTGTTCTTCGCAAGGCTGGAAAACCCGGTGACCGACGACCCTATACTACCCTCTCGACTCTAAGCATTCAACCAGGAATCACTGATCCTCTCCAAGGTCTGCGTTGGGCAAACCTATAACAGCTATGAAGGAAAAAAAACTTGAGCCAACGGGACAGCCTCCACTGGACAAGTATCACTAACCAATCTCCCCATCTAAGATCACCAAAACAACTGAATCTGCAAATAAAAAAGGTGCTTTAGACACCAACGTCTTCGACGTTATACCGGGAGACGTTGGGAAAGAGCACTACAACTAGCCCCAAAGCTTCGGACTTTGTAATTTTTCTCCCAATCAGTCTGGGTCTTCAACAGCAAGCCAGAGAAGATCACCCTGAGGTATCCAGGCAGTCACAATTGCTGTTAACTGCAGTCAAGAAAGAGTTAACTTAAAAAGCTCACCGGTCTTTTTTAGGGCCATCGGACGTCGAACTACCTTGCCAACAAATATATTAGAACTTAACAAAGTTGACAGAAAACACACTTTAGGGGTCACACAAATTTTAAGCATGCCAAAAGTCGCAAGAGGGTGAATCGGAAGAAAAACTTCAAGTGTATCTAATAAATACAATTTTACTTAGGCGTCAAGAAACTGACGCAGAAAATTTATCGAGATTGAAACAGCAGCGTCAAAATCGACAACTAAAGAGTCCATTACGTGAGAGATCAGCTTTTCATTGTACCCTCACAGCAATCTCTGAAATCTTTAAATATCCTACTTCAGATTTTTTAATAAGTAGAAAATTTATTTGTGTTTTTGTGGTAATAAAAATGTAGGGTTTAAGGTCCAGGACTTTGTTGCTCTGGTAATAAAGTTGTGAGATAAGAGAAAAAAAATTGTTTTTTGATATAAATTTTTTGGGAGTTTAAAATCTTAACAGCTTTAAAAAATAGCCATTTTCGTGAATTACACGGGAGAAACTGTAAATCAACGGCTTCTTAT